TGTATCTGGAATTCAAAAAGCAACCAACATGGATAACATGCCAGTCAAAGTCATTTTAGCCATGACAGATGATGGCTTTCCCTCAGGCACATACAACAGCCAAACCTGTCAAGCTCCCGATCTCCACTCCCTGTCGGAACCACTCTCCCCAAATACAGGCGCCAGAAAATATCCTCTGCCCTTCTGCATGCAGCACAGACTGGCTTCACAAGTTCATAAATGTCAAAGGGACATAGTTAAACCCCGTAGCTTACCACTGAAAAGGTGAGAAAAGGGTTGTTTACTGAGGAAAAACTGCACGTCTTTAAAAGAAAGACTTTATGATGTCAATAAGAATTTTAATACCGGCACATTAGCTGAGCATTAAGTGCAATGAAAATAAAAAAAGGAGATATATTCACTATCAGGGCAAAAGAGGGAGAGAAGTGGCAGAAGACAATCAACTGAAATGCGTCCAAAGAAATCTTCAAGACAACAGATAGCCTTTAGAAGAGATGTAAACACACAATCGTCTCCCTTGAACAATTAATAAGGTGAAAGTTGCTATTGGAAAAAGAAAGTGAACACACAAGGAAAGTAGTCCATAAATATGCACTATATTCTACTAAGATGTTAGAGATCTTAACCTAAAAGAAAGCCAGTAGTCTAATCTTTGAGTTTGTATTGTGACGTTTTCAGTCAAAAAAGGCAAACTTAATCAGAGCATGCTTATGATTAATTTTCTTGTAACCCATTAGCCTCAAACAGTTTATAAAGCAACTACCCCAAAGTTAAATATTGAATAAATAACTTGTTTTAATCTGTAATTTAAAGGCAAAAACTAATTAATGAAAGATTAAGAGCGGTGAAGCCGAAGAAAAGAAAAGGCTTTCAAAAATCAGAGGATGCTCTTGTTCAGGCCAGGCTCCAAACATGCTGATCCCACTTGAGCACAGTCACTTCTCCACAAAGTTTGACTGGATGAAAAGGGACTGGCTCACAAGATGGCAGCTAGCCCCATGAGATGCACCAAAGCTCTCCAAAAATCTACATCTTAATCCTCCCTTCGTGCCTTTCCCTTACGCCCTCGATCTATTTTTATCCCCGTGCTTACTCTCTCACGGCCTTTTCTTCTTCTTTGTGTGCATGTTCACGTCGCTGTAGTTTTTAGGGGATTCCTGCCAGCCCTTCTGCTCCCAACAGAAGGCCGGGAATGTTGAAGCTCTGGAAGCATAAGGAGTTAAGGTGCCTCAAATGACTGTTGTTTAGGTAATATGCACCAATTTCCCCTCAATACAACCCGTGTTGTGAGCTGAACCAACTCTGATGGACAATGGCTTACAGGAAAAGCATGGTTATGCGTCTCCTGAAAAACAACAAAAAACAAAAGACGCAACATCCCGTTTGTGTTTTTAGATCCTCAAGTCTTACAACAATTGGTATTGGCTGTGAAAATGAGAATTATTTAATTAATTTTTCTATTAACAATTGCCCAGACAGTCGTAAAATGATAACTGACAGGGCCTTAAGGAGACAAAGCCAAATTCAGAAAAATAATTGTCACTCATGGCAAAATTCTCCAAAAGGAAAAAGTCAACAAAAGCAGGTTCAAATGGAGTTGATAACACTGGAATAAAAACTCACCTCCACATCCATCACAGACGCTCACTTTCATACAGTCCGCTCAGTAAGCTTGACGGTCTGTTTTCTTTCAACCCAGAAGATGAAGCATTTACAATTTCAGCCTCACTGCAATCCATCTTGTGTGAGCCTGATTCCAAAGACAAACTGGGCTCATTGATAATGGTGCTCCAGGTGCAACGCATGCTATGATCTTCAAATCTTTTAATGATACGTACTGAGGATGATGAAATTCCACCCCAGCTTTTCTTCTGACAGACTGAGCCTCTCAGAGATGCACTTTTATTACAGAGATTGTCAGTGTGCACAGCTCCTGGAATTTTAAAAAGAAAAACGGCAACTGTGGCGCGCAGTATTATCCAAGGATGAAACGTCGAGAAATCCAGCTCCAACTGTAAAGAGGCAGATTCAAAGCAGACAATCTTCGCACACTATCAGACTTTGGCTTAAACACATCCACATTTCATTTTGACCATTATTATAACGAACCATTTAATTCCAACCCCAAAATGTTCCTGACTTGTTGCTGAGTAACCAAGTTCAACCTTTGCCCCAGGACGTGATGGGTGGTGTAGGATGAAGGGCAGCTGTTTGAACTAAAACTTTCTTAAAACATTATCAAAAAAACTACCCACACACTTTAATGTGAAAGAGAAAAAAAAAGCTTAGAAGATTTCGGCTTAGATTTCAAACATGGAGCTACCCACAAGGACAATGAACCAAAAAAACCCAGTGTGGACACACTGGGAGAGAGAGAAAAAAAAAGGTGTAATCACTGTGTGGAAAAAAAAGAAGAAAAAAATTAAGTGATTAGAGGGTTGGTTCCACAAAATAAATCAAGAAAAAGGGTCACCAAAGAAATGAAGGTGGGATAAGCACAATAAATTTAAGAATGATTGTTAATTTTTGTGTGGCACAACTTCAAATTTTTAATCCAACCATTTTCTGTCTCACCAAATTATGTATTTTACTTCATAAATAGAAGTTAATAAATATAGGAACTAAGTACTGGTACTAATTTACACTGATAAAGTTCAATAATTAAGTTTTTTTTCATAAAATAGTTGGAAGAAGTTGCATTTCATGACACAAATCAATTATTTTTTTGGTTACCAACCTTTGGCTGTGAAGAAACTTCACAACTGACAGAGCAGCTGTCTTTGTGTCCATTCTGTATTGACGTACACACAGAAAGTATTTAAGATGGCTTGATCAAAGTTTGTCGGATCAATTTTGTGATATTAACAAAGATACGATACAAGCCAGCAGAGCTTGTTATTCTCGCCAAACAAGCGGGCGGATAAACGAACGTGTTTGTGCTGTAACATTTAAACGGGGAAGGGCCACGCTGACCTGCACAGATCAGTGCCCATTTGGAGAGAGAGCAAATGGAAATGTCAAGCGTGGAAGTCAGTCAGGCAAGAAAATACCAAAGAAATAAAACTAGATCTGCTCTTCAGAAAGCGATGAAAACAACAGATGACTCGGGCGGGATCCTGACAGTCCACTGCACAGAACGCCCGAGCACAGGATCCCAGTCAGGATGGATGACTTCTTGTTGCCGAAAAAAAAAAGGGAAAAGAAAATCAATGTTGGGAGATATGAGAAATAGTACGAGGCATCAGAGATAAACAGACGTGACTGGAGCTATTTGTTTGCGGACATATTAATCAGGTGTTGTAGAACATGGAGTCAGGAATTAAATTCCCAGTGAGCCCATGTGAGATTAGTGAAACAGACAGGACCTCGGCTCAGGAGGAAGAAGCGCACGCGTTTTCTGATTCTCCGCATGCACACACACCCCAACACAACACTTACGCAGTCACTGCCGGTGCGTGCCTGTTCTGAGACAATGTTAAGACAAAATTTCTCCTCCAGTGTGTCAAGCCTCTGAAAATAATTTAGTGCAATAATCCAGGGCTCTCCTTTTCAATTAAGTGGGAAGGTCAAGATTGTCAGAAGGAAGCAAATGAAACACAGCTTAAGTTTTAATGAGGCTACGCTCTACAGGGAGACTCTACAACCTTATGTTTGAGAGGATTTTCTTTTACAGCGTCAAATACGGGAAGACAAATCCCGTTTGCCTCTAATATCTGACGAATTGATAGAATTAGTCAGTGTTGGGTCGTGATTTTCAGCTGGAACTTGGTCTTGTGGTTTGGTTTCCTTTGGGTACTCTTATCAGTCTAGGCTTTCATTTAAGTGCCAGTTTCGTCAGCTCTTTCTAGAAAACTGGGGAAGCCGTGGCTTGTTTTTCACAGAAATTCAGCTTCCCACCTTCAAATGTACTTACTCTTCTATTTATGAAATCTAGATACAAAAAAAGATACATTCACACCCAGTCCTGTGTGTCCTATCCCCATGCCAGAGTCTGGTATTTCTGAGCAAAAGATAATTCACTATCATGTTCATATTCCCGGTTGAGAGCAGAGATGTTCATATCTGCAACAACAAGCCTAAGACTTTTTCAAAAGAGCCCCTTTTCTGCCTGCTAGGCTCACCGAAGAATTAAGAGATCTAGTCTCCTCAGTTGCAGTATCATTTGATGCTGATGTTAATTTGCTCCCAAACGCACTCAACTCAGCTACAGTGGTGGGAAAGTTCACTCTGTCTGCAGCTTATCTGAAATGTTAGAGCGGGATTCAAGTGAGATATTATAGAAAAATATCTCTAGGTTTCATTATTCAGAGACAAGGTGGAGGTTATCCTGTTTTTATCAAATCTGTGATGCTGAGCAACGCATCTAGGCTGTAACAGCCATGAGGTGATAGACACGAGGGGGGGGGGGGGGGGGCAGGACTGTTCCATTGAGATATTTCTAAGTGAATAACTTTTAATAGGCAGGGCAAACTTTGATGGATGAGATATTGATTATCTTGTATTCTAAGAGCCTGACACCAGAGGATTCTAACAATTAAGAGAAGATTTTTCTAAACCATTTACAACAAACCAAGATGAGCCCTTTTACATGCAGTATTAGTAAATCTTTGGATTAAAATGATTGCAAACTGCGCATTGTAAGACTGGTTAAAGGCATGTGGCGTCCATGTTTGAGACAAATCTAAAAAATATCATTGTAATTACAATCCGTTTTCAAGAAGAAGTTAGACACCTGCTTACTCAAAGTAGGGTAGTGAGGAGGCTGGATCCTATCCCACTACAGGCCCCCACTGACAAACTACCATGGCACACTCTCACCAATTAACTGAACGTACGTGAAAATCCCTCTGGCCAGTGAGAGGAAGCCAGAGTAGATGCCTGAACAGAACCTATGCATCAACAGGGAAATCTCATTAAGTTCCATTGAGAAGGTGGGTTAACTAAAAATAAGGAGAGAATGCAGTTGTTTTCAAATCTCAAACAAATATATATATTTTTAGAACAGAATATAGAAAACACATTTTGTAAAGTGGCAATTGTGAAAAGCCTTGGTTCCTTTTTAATTTGATTATTTGATAGTACCAGTATGCCACAACCAATTTCAAAAGAGAACCAATGTAAGGCTAGTCTAGTAAATAGCGAAAAACAACTAATCAGAATGATTGACAACATATCAGTAAAAAGGACAAAAATCATATTTAATAAATAGCATCAAAATAGTCAATTCATCTGAACACAGACACAAGGGAAAAAGTTGAAAGTCAATAACGGATGACCATGGTCTTAGGGTCCTCAGGCAGGGCAGCATTGAAAACAGCCATGATGCTATTATGTATAATCACTGCATGGGGTCAGGCTCCCTTCCAGAAATAATTGTCTGTGAGCACAGATCACTGCGCCATCTAAATGCAGGTTAAAGCTCTATCATGCAAAATAAGAGGCCACATGTCAGCGTCACCCCGTTCCAGTCCTCAGGCTTCACTGCCCCGCAGGGTTTAGATGTTCCCCACCTGATTCATCTGATGCTAATGAAGTAGACCTCCTCAACAGGATGCTGTCAAGATCGGCACATGCACAGTGGCCTAAATGGCCTGGAACAGGAGTCTGTTTGTGAACACGATCCAAAAAGAGTGCCATTTCTACGGACCAAAGCTTATTTAAAACAAACCAAGGCAAAGCAGAAAACTGTCAAATAAACAAGGTCACATATTCTCTCAGCAAGTACTGGGCATTATGTCCTTTAGAATACAAAGACTCAGGACTCTGTCCTGCTAAGATCCTCAATCAGACAAGAATCAGACAATATTCTTCCGCAAAAGGTTCAGCTGCTGACATTTTTAGTTCTCAGATGTGTACTGATTGTTAACACTGTTATGGTGGCAGAAATGGGACAGATGAGATCATTATTTTCATAAAATGAACAATTGTCTTCGTCATTTGATGTTCCTCATGGGATGAGATGTTCAAAGTTCCACTGCGGGGACAATATTTGGTTAATACTGATGTTTATCTATCTTGATGGATGAATATCGGGCTTGAAGAATATGGATGAAAACATTTTATGTGCCCATTTTATACGAAGCATATAAAAAACATTGATGATTCCTTGGATGCTATGTCACAAGTTTGGTTTTGACTGAGAGGCTGACCAAGCTGGGATAAACTGTCATAACTGTGAGCTATACAATGCTATTGTATACGTGAACAACACAGGTCTAAAGAGGTTGTTAGCCTCAGGCAGGGTCCATGCTCATCCTCTCTCCAGGATCATGGCATGCCAGCAGGAAGTAAGGCTCCTACTCAGTCAGCCCCTCAATACTCAACCCACCTGATCTTAAATTGCACTCCGATGAGCAGAAATATGCCACAAGTTTGCACACAGAGGGGGGGGTGCACGGAAAAATTAAATTAAGCTTTAGCTGGAAGCATCTGATAAGTTTATGGAAATTAAAGTTTTATGTAAATCAGTTGTCTGCCTGGTCCCGCGCCAGATCACAAGGGGCTGCACTATATTGCATTCAAATTAGCTGCCTCAGAAAACTCAGCAGCTACGCCTAACAAGCACAAAAATATAAACAAAACAACATAATCACATGAAATCCAGGTTGTGTGCTATATGATATAGTTATTGTCTTTCCTTTTTGATAATAGGTATGAGTGTTTGCCGTTCCCTCTTCAATCAGCACTCATATTAAAGCCCATATGCAAAACATTTGGTACAAAGATGCACACAGACCACATCAGTATGCAACACTAAAAGAATGTTTTTATTTCAATGCATCCTCTGATTTTGAAAAGTCCAAATGAGATGTGTGTTAACTGAGCTGAGCACAGAGCAGAACCGAGCGGCTCTAGTCACAGAGAACACTGACATCATGTGGACAAAGATAGCAGCACCACAAGATTCAATTTCCTTTTTTTTTTTCAAGTCTTTTCTTTTTAGTTTATACTACTTTATAATTCATAATACTATGTAATAACATTATTCATTCACAGCTCCCCTCAAAATCATACTTACGACTTTCTGTCTTTCACCCGTTATATGAGGTTAAAAGTGTTCATCAAAGAGACCAAAACAAGTGTCCCTGAAGGCAGAGCAGGTAGTTGGTGAACTTCTGGCACCATTGCCTTGCTGGACTGATGCTACCTCGAAATCGTGGAGCCGGCGTGAGATTGGCTAGAGGAGGTGGTAGCTGCACTCAGCTGTGAGAAACCGCTCTGACAAGACTCCAGACTGGTCATGGACCCCCTAGAAGTGAGGACAGGAGCAGATCATAAATATTTACTCTCACGTGTGGTTAATCTCAGAGGAAGACACGATAATGTGCAACAGAAAACCTGACACTGCACACATCGTTTACACTTCCACACAAGAGGAGTAAATGACGCACAGGGTGAGCCTGAGAAGATAAAATGAGTTAACCTGAAGTCATGTGAAGCCAGAACCTCGGTGTAGTACATGATCTTGCATTTGTGGGAGGACACTTGCAGGGAGGCCAGCACGTCGTCCACACGAGGCAGGCTGGAGGCGGCGCCGGCCGTGGAGCTGTGGAAGCGCCACTGGAGGATGTAGAAGCCAGGCCAGCGTGTTATGTGGGAACCCTATTAGATATAAACGGTAGGGGAGGAGGAGGAGGGGGGATTGTGTGCATGAGGAACTGATTTAATTCACCAAATAGGGACTGACAAAGCAGAAAAACAAGAGGACGGTGGGATCTAAAAGGTGCGGCCCTCACCTGGACACTCTCTCCCTCCCTGCAGGTGTGGCCTTTCTCCACCATGCTGTAGTCCTGGCCCAACACCCAGCTCTTATCTATGAACTGGGTGTTAAAAGCTCCGAGGGAGGGGATGCCGTGAGCTGCCAGAGTGTCCTTCTTTTGAGGCTGAGGGGCTCTTTTGGAGTGGTAAATGTTGAAGATCACATCTCCCTTAGACACATCGAAGTCCCAGGTGATGACAGAGGAGGCCTCTGCTATCTCGATCAGCATCTGGACGAGGACGCAGAGAGAATAACAACACACACACACAAAAACAAGACAGCCCTCCATTAGTCAGGATTTAGCTTTGGCTGCAGGCCTGCAATGCAGGTTATGTTTCAGTTGGTGGCAGCCTTGCCCAGAGCATAAAACCAACCGTGTGAAAAGAAAAACCAACAGTGAATTATGGTCAGAAATGAGCATGCACCTCAAAGGGGGCTCCCTTAAAGATGCTGGCACTCTTATAGATGGAGTCAGTCAACAGGCAATTTTCTTCACTCTCCAGTTCCTCTGCAGTCCTGTACAGAGATTTGGGGACCAAACCCCCCTCAGGGATGTCACACTGAATGGGGAAGAAGATAGAAAAATAAAATCGGAAGTCATATCAGTGGAATATAAATATGTGAAGACGTTCGGCGTGTTGTATCTGCCAATAGTTTAGTTCCTCGTCCAGTGAGATATTAAATAACTCAGTGGGAAATTTCTGAGGGTACATGCTCACTAACAATCCATCCTTTTGCTATATTGTTTATTTCTAATTGGGATCTTGGTGGGGAGCTGCAGCCAGAGATAACCCACTCACACAGGGAGAACATGCAGACTTTGGCAATTCAAGCCCTCTCGCTGTGAAGGGACAGTACTAACCATTATGCAGCCCACTGAATCCCACTCAGTTCAAATCCCATGCTATCATGCCCCATGTGAGTGACTATTCAGTCACAATTTTCAGAAAAGGCTTTTCTCACAAATTTAATGTTTATTTTAAAGTCTGACAAAGGAACACCGGCCAGAGTTTTAAAAAAGCACTATGAGAAGATGACATCTTGACTTTAGTTTCAAATTTAACCGTTTTGTGTTTTTTATTGTTTTGCACTGTCTGACTCAGCTGAGGCTAGCCTTCTGTCGCCTGACCAGTACATGTATTCGGTTTCTACCCAACAAGACTTTCTGGAAAAAAATAGACACAAGCTTCACATCAATCATTCCCTCACCACAACAGAACATACGGGGAGGAGCTAAGTCGGTCTGCCTTAGAGGTTTCTAGTCAGCTGTGTGCGTTCCAGCAGTCGACTGCATTTTCCAACAAGCCTGTTCCTAAAAAGTTTGTGTGGCTGAGTGTCTGAGAACGCCTGAAACCCAGAGGGTGCCAAGAAACACTGCTGCAACGGGACACATTACGCATGTAAAGTGCTGCCATCATCACCAACAGGAGGCATGGCACCACAGCACATATGACTACACAAAACTGTGCACTTTTCAAATGACTACCCTTAAAAATGATGGTTTAATCTGAGGTGCCATATATAAATCGGAGGAGTGAGCTGATAATTAGAAGGCTATGTATTGCCTGCTGTTTTCTGACTCCACACAGCCTGAACTAACTGTAATGTGTCGTCATCTCACACCTTGTTAACGGAGCTATCATGCAGGTACCACATCAGGCCAGCAGGTGGCACCGCTGCACTATTTAGCAGGATTTTAAGTAAACTTCAACAAGATCATTGTCTCATAGCAGTAAAAATAACTTCTTGTATTAAATCCATTCAGCCTTTTGGTGTGTTCAACCACACTGCTTAAAGTGAACAGAAAGACAATCACCAGGATATATATTTCTTATTTCTCACTTAATTCTGACTTCGTATTACAAATGACATTTGTGAAACATCAGGTAACATCGACATGAAATGCAACTTCAAATGAGCGCATGAGCCTCACCATGCACTCCCCGTGAAGAAAATCGGGGATGATCTCCCTGTCAATATAATCCACCAAGCCTCCTGGACCCTGGTAGTCATTTCCAGCATAAACAAGGAATTTTTTCCGAGTGTTATCATCAATCAGGGGGCTGACCTGAAAAAAATATAATAAAAAAAAAACAACAGTCATCAAAGAAAATTTAAAACATGAAAGAAACAGCAGGTAAAAATCTCCCCACTTTCAATTAATCCCTCATGTCTGATATACAGCTGTTGTTATTAAGCTCCTGTGGCTACGCTTAATCGTGTTCTCCACGTCCAACTGTAATATTGCTCTTTTCATCAACAATTAGAAATTTCTTTTGAATCTACTGGATACAACTGTTGGGAGTCCAGAATAAAAAGCTTCTCATCTTCTGCATCAGCTGTGTGCTGCTTTCAGAGTCCTTCTTTTTGTGAAGGTTTACTATCATACATCTGTGTACATACATTACCGCTCATCTTTATTTCCTTGTTAAATACGATTATCATCCTGCTCTGCTGCTTTGTTGCTTTGACGATAATGTCTCCCATGGGGATCATTCTCTGCACATCACGCAGCTGTAATTATCTCTTTTTGTCAACATTTGATTTGTCTACTTTTCCTCTCTGTTTCTTCTGGTGTCTGCCTTTTGGCTGGCTCCACCGAATTATTCACAATCCCCACTGATGCAGTCCTTATCTGGTCTGTTTAAACTCTACCTGAATAACGAAGACACAACAAAGGCCAAGCAAGATGGATGCGTTTGCTCTTACCAAGGTCCACAAAACAGGAAAAACCCTGGGTGCACGCACTATGAGCAGGCGACCCAAAGTCTCGGGGTAGTTGGCCTCAACCACCTCGATTATTCTCAACAGAGCCTTAACTCCTGGTCTCCACAGGTGACGCATGTTTAGACCCTCCAGATCCACCAGGCATGTCCAACAGCTGGCCAACACATATGTGTACACATCAGAAGACTGTACACCACATACAAGTGCATGTACTTAAGTTTATATTTATATTTAAGCTCAGGCACCTTACGGGACGACCAAAGACTCTGGTGTTCTCTTGGCAGCGCCTCAGTCCCTCCTCGTTGATGGACAGGACCTGTGCAAAGGTAAAAAGAAGTTAAATGAAAACAAAAACACAAACAGAGAAATCTGGGCCATGTGCTCATGTCACCTGTCTCAGCAGCATCTCTTCTCCCAAAGCTCGCACCAAGCCCTTTGTGTCCATTTGACCCAGACGCAACACGTATAGAGGGCGGCCATCTAAACAACACAGGACACACAGATGAATATCAAACAAGGGAAATTCACCCTATACAAGAAAGCAAAAGAATAAAGAAAAAACTATCAAAATAATCCTGGATATTTGAGCCTTTGGACCTGTTCATAATTTCTAAAGGAATTAATTTAGCATTCAATTATTGAAGGGGTTTAATTTCACACACGAGATGACAACAGATCATTATTTAATGATTAACAGGCAAATTCAAACTTAAGATAAATCTAAAAAACTTCCAATCATTGATCTATTTCCATCTGGACTGTGAAGTAAAGGGCAGTACCTCTGTCATGGTGGTGCCATCCTCCAGTGAAATAATCCTGAAGCAGCTGTGGGCTGCTCCAGGAGTCCAACAGGAAGTCCACCTGGTGCTGTTTCCTCCAGGTGAGAGACTGGCACAGGAACTCCCTGGCCTTGTCGATGTTGAAATCTCTGGCCCTGAGGAAGCGCAGCACGTGCTGATCCTTTGGAATCTGTATGCAGAAATCGGGGATTCTGTGTTACAGATGAATGGAAACAGCTGGTCATTGAGTTCATATACTCCACAGCGCAGCACGGACCTAAACAATGCAGTAAATCTTAGAAACGTTTGAACCCAAGCCAGAGTTCTATTCAGTTTTGCTACAGCATATATGGTTTTTACCTTAAGCTCTTCTTACTGGAAAGCTTTACTGCCGTCAATCAAATTGAAGTCTGGCTTGATAACCCTAAGATGATGTTTTTTCTCTGCTATTATTTCAGTTTTCTCTTTTAGAACTTTGTATCATCAGGAGGTCAGACTGTTTAAATCTTTCAGTAGACTATTTTCCAAAGAAGATCAGTGACCAGTGATCTTCTACCAATACTTTGAAGTGGACGTTCTGATCTCAGTGGCAAGTGATGCCAGGATAAAGCTCACCTAGCCACTACATCAGATCACAGAAAGAGTTAGGATAACTTTTGGTAATTTCTTCTACAGTCAATTGAGTTGTTTTTATGTGCTGAGTGCGCCAAAGTAGTCAACCCCAGGAGCATCATTCCTGCACTTAAACACAGAGATAGGATTTTTTAATGAGAAAAGAACACCGATTTTTGCTGAATAACAAAGCTGCAATCCGAAACGTTCGCTCACACCGATGAAGAGTCCCACCCCCTTACATGGAGGGAAACAAAGTCAGTGGTGAGTGTTGGAACTTTTCCAACCTAGTCAGCTTCACAGAAGAGGGAGAGTTAGATATCCCGAGCAGAAAAGCTAAAATCATGTTTGAACTTTGCAAATGAAAAACAAGGTCATGCCAAAGAATAATTTACCATTAATCAGCATTTTGCTCAAATGCTTGATTTAAAATAATATATATTAGCAAAAGGAAAGCGGAAAATGTCGAATGGTGTTGCAGCTTTTTATTTGCATTCTAAATCGATATCTTACAATTAATTTCTATGCCTTAGTCTCATCTTAACTCTAACTCGCAAATAGAAACCTTGACTTGGGTGAGCTCATGCTAAAATGGTAAATAAATTTGCACTTAGATGAAATGAAAGAGCTGTGTAGAAGTCGAGGTTGTATGAGGAGCTCGGGAATGAGAGTGCCGTGCATATAATTGCCCAAACTGCATTATTTGTGTATGTCACCTTGCCCTTGTGTGTCTCCTGCAGCCACTGCCGTAGTCGAATAAGACAGCTCTCCTGCAGAGGCGTTAAATCACCAAGGTAACGTCTGATGTAATCAGCATCCAACTTGTCTACAGGCCAAAACACATGTACAGTGTAAAGTTATCACATACTGCATGCATGAAACAGAGATGTCTCCTATTCTGTATTCTAGATTTAATCTAAAAATCAAGCATGATTTGATGAGATGTTTTAGCTTAGAATGTTCATTTCAAGGCGTCGCTTTGATTTGTGCTCAAAAGTTCTAAAACTATCTCAGCCATGTTCCTGAGACACTGCATTTTGTTCTTTGGATCTGTGTGTTAGCCTCTCTCTTACTCTGCTAACAGTCATGAGAGCACACTGACCATCTGGGGAACCAGCCAACAGATCCGCAGGACACCCCGGTTCTCTGCCAAGCAGCCCATCCTTGCTGCTGTTCCCTGGGATGGCCCTGGCATTAGAGGGGGGCGGCAGCCGGGGCGGCCCACAAACACTGGAGGACTTGACAGGGGTAGTCCAACGCGGTATGTAAGTTACTCCTTCCCCCTCCAGCTCTCTGAGGTAGTACTCAATTATTTCTTTACCCTATTAGCATTTGAAAGACACAAAAACTCAGGGTAAATTTCAAAGACTGGCTAAGAATCCAGAAAACCACTAAAGGAACAAAGACAAAGGTATTCTATTAGTAAGATAACTTTTTGTTTAACTTGGTATCACAGACAAAAAGTCTTAATTTACATACCAACCTTTTTAATATTACTTGCATATTGTTTCATAGCTAGCTTCTCTGCTGTGCTTTCAAACCCAAAAAATGACTTAATGTCCAGGCTAGCTGTTTGCTCAAAGCACGTCCACTCCTCATTTTCTGGATGAACCTGAAGAGGATAAAGAAATACATTTTCCTTTAACTTTTACAGCAATTCTGTTTTAAGTCATGTTTTTACAAAAGTAAAAACAAACAAATAAAAGGATCTCTTGCGGGCTTGCATAACAGTGGAATCTGAGGCTCACCGAGTAGCTGCAGCACTCATAAACAATGACCCTGTTGGAGAAAGTCTCGTTGCGGACTTCGATACGGAGCGACCTGTCTCTGCGGTTCAGGGTGTTCTTTTGGGTGAAATACAGATAGTCCACACCGGCAATCTGCATGCACAGACAGCAAAAATCAAGGTTTGCTAGATTGTGAGAGCAAATACGCTAACAGAACCTTCTGAATGCTACAGAGGAGCTGCACTGGAGGCTAATATCATACACACAGTCATTTACACACAGTGATTATAAAAAATAAATAAAAAAACCCCGCAATCAAATGGCACTAAATACCGCCTGATTACCAACTCTCTCGGCACGGCATTAATGAGAATCCTTATTTGTTTGCCAGAGCAAACAATCTGATGATGATATCAACTTTCCTTGACTATTCCCCGGAATCGCTCTGTGGAATTCCTAATCAGAGGTACCCGTTTGAGAAGTCGAGGGGCCTCAACATCGATCGTGCAGCGTCTCTGAGTTACAACCACCGAACCGTCTTCATTCTCAGTCTGGCTGATGATCTCACTGTCTATGAACACTGGGATCAACGGGCACTTCGGGAACCTCCTCACGTAGGCCTGTAAGAAGGAAACTCACATGAGAAAAACGTTTCCTGGATTTTTGAACTCATCTTTTATACAATGATTGACTCTGGCAAGGCAAACCTCCTGGATGCACCATTAAGTGAGGCTGCTTGTGTCTGAGCTACATTGGGCGTACCGACTGGAGCAGCAACATATGATTTCTACGTCAGGTGACGGTGCAGTCAAATTTTATGGCTTGTGCACTGCATCAACCTCCAGCTGTGCCAGCTTTTACAAGCAGGGATCCCTTCATGTTTTACAGCCCAAATCATATGACCATCTGTCCGGGCCAGTTTACGCAGGGTTCGCTTGTCAATATTGACCGAGTCACTGAGCAGGCAGTCCCAGGAGTAACAGCTGTGCGTCTCTGGAGCTCGCAGCTGGGTAGTTTCTAATGACAAGCTATTAAAACTTAACCAAGGGCAGGGATGGAACTAAACCTTTATGAAGTGGATTTTCACTCGCTTAGTGTGTGGGTTATATTCATTTTGCCACATGGTGGGGCGTCAAACAAATTGGCAAGCCTAATATTGGGGAAAATAGTGAGTTTTGGCACCCGTAAACCATACCTAAATGTCAGCAAAGATTTTAAAAACTTGCAAAATCATCTGAATAGACTTACATGGCAAGACAAAACAAAACAAATGTATTGTTCCTGCCTCTAGGGTCAATAAATTAATAACTTTGGTGATGTCCACAAAATAAAAATTAAATTAAATTGGAGGACATTGGAGCACTTTCTACAATTAACCCTTTTGCTTTGAATCATTCAGCATGTGTTGTAGTTTAATGTTAAACCCTCTTTTTGTAAGTCTCTTTGGATAAACGCATCTGCGAAATACATATATGTAAATGTGAATGTAGTAAACAAGCTAATGAATGCGGCTGTGGAGCATAACCAGAGATCCGCTTCCTGCAGGGGTTATTGATTAAATGTAATGTTACGAACGTTAACTATTTACAAGTGCTTTTGTGAACCCATTTAAGAGCCTGTCGAATACGTCCCTCTTATGCAAAGGCCCTGGAGAGTCATAAATAGGTGTCATGAAAGGGACAAACATGAAGTCACTGAGTGCACGTTTGGTGCTATTCAGGACACTGATTAGGACTGTTAGCTGAAGTATTAACTGCCACTGGCAGGATTAGCCAGGGGCTAATGAGAAAGCTGGACGATAAATGGATGCTGCAGAGGTGGTAGGCTCCTCATCGAATTCTCTCCTTTGTGCTCTAGAGACCTGAATCTTCTCATATGAGCGGTTATTAGTTCTCACAAAAGGTTTATTTTTGGAGCCTTTTCAATAACCTCCAGCGATGCAGAGATGGATTCCAAACTGATCCTTCACAGGGAGGCGTCGAAATGACCCGGGAGCAAATGTAAACGGCACAGTGTGTTCCATTAAGTCTGACTGAGTGGTAAAGAAGCTGCACAGAGAAGTGTCGCTGCACTGACGTATTCTTTGCTCCACACTGAGGATATTGCATAAGCCTTTGGCTTAATGTATAACTTAGAAGAACAAGAAACAACACCAAGACTGTAAGAGGGTGAAATCAACCCCCATCTACCAGGTTTTCTCTGTCCTACTTTTGCTTCACAGTGTTGTTGTGCTCCTCTATCATTTTCTAAGTACAAAACTTGTGGTTTCAGGTAAATAGAGCCATACGTCTGTGACTTTTTCTACTCAAAGCCCGGCTCATTATAGATAGATAGATAAGAGCTTTATTGATCTCACAGTGGAGAAATTCACTGGTCACATATCGGTTAGGGTACAAAAGGAGGAAAAGGTGCATAAAGTACATCAAAAGCAAGCAAATATACAAAGAAAGAAACACAGCGTAGAGATTTGGGTGATTAAAATATATACAATCATTGAGGGCTCACACACAGTACACATATTATACAGGTCAATAAATATAACACAATTGCACAGCAGTTGTTAAAGTGCAGAGTTGTACAGTCTGGTAGCAGCAGGAATAAAAGACCTACGGTATCGCTCTTTTTTGCACACAGGGTGTCTGAGTCTTTTACTAAAGGAGCTGCTCAGCTCCTCTACAGTCCGATGCAGGGGGTGAGAGGTGTTGTCCATAATAGATCTTAGTTTGGACAACACTCTCCTCTCAGCCACTTCCTCCACTGAGTCCAGAGGGCAGCCCAGGACAGAAGTGGCCTTCCTCACCAGCTTATTCAGCCTCTTCCTGTCCCGCTCTGTGCTGCCAGGGGCCCAGCAGACGACAGCGTAGAGGAGGGCTGAGGCCACTACAGAGTCGTAAAAGCACTGAAGACTCACTACCCAGCTCAGCGCACATGTGGACATGTTCTTTATGCTGCCACGTTAAAAAATGAAATCTATTTCTAGTCGTACAGATAGTGCTGGAGCCTCTGTGCTGCTGGCCTCCCTTATCTCAGCCTTACATCACCTACAATTAGCCAGCTGTCCCCAGTCGAGCAGAGAAACAGTCTAACTCAGCTATTTCAGCCGTGTTATGTAACAAATAGCTAATCACGACCACAAACAATCACTCCCATTACCCGTGAACTCCTATCAGGCATCACTTGACAAGAAAATAGGACGCTGTTTGGATGGGGTACAGCCATTTTTCATATGTGTGCAGATGTCGTCGGTATGGAACTAATACCCAACCAAAGTGGGTCCGAAACTTTTTTTGTTGTTGTTGCAACGAGCAAGTCAGTTGCTGTATTTCATTCGGCAGTTTTTTATAGAAATGTGCTTAAAAAAAGTTTAGTTCCGAGCAGTTTCAGCTGTCACGATGGACAGCCTGTCCGGAGCGAAATTAGAGCTAAGATGGCTCTGTACACACACACAGCGACGCCACTCACCGCCATTATCAACTCAAACGGGTGCTTGTAGACCCGGACAGGGGACTGGTACTCCTGCACCATGGTTGAAGCTGATGAAACTGTTGGGTTACACAGAAAAAAATAAAAAATAAAAATCACAAGAATGACCATAAAACATTTAACCGGAGAGTGGACAGCTGTACTGTGTGCACATCGCGAAAAAAAAGTTCAAAGTCAGTGAGCCAAAGGGAGGGTCAGTGAAAAGCGATGGGCTGACCTTCAGTCTGCGGTGGACACTGCGGTGGAGGAGAGGAACGACACAAACAAAGAAAGAGCTGAACAAAAATAACAATCACGTAGCGTATTTACAAATTTTTTTTTTAACTCGGCTAACGGCGACAGTGTCCGCAGGGACTGAAAAAAAAGAAAAACAACAACAGCGACTCACGGAAAACTTCAGTTTCAGACGAAAAACTTCAGTTTCAGACGGAAAACAACGCCTTAGAGAAGTTCTCCGGTACTTCACACGTCCATGACGACAGCTAGGTGAAGAGAAGAGTTATTTTTTAGCTAATTTCGTGCCGACTACACCGGTCCGTCTGCCGTTAGACTCCGTGGGAAACAGACCTTTGGCTCCGCCCCTTTTCTGCCAACACAAAAACATCCCAACATCACCCCGTGACCCTGCCCAGGTCACGTGTCCACACAGCCTCAGAGATACACATTTTTATGATACATCTTTGCTATACACATACAAATACAGGACATACACCTACTATGTGTATATATTGAGAGATTGACGTAGGCCAGATGTAGATCGTGGAAGGAGGAAGCCAGAGTACCAAAACGTGTCCATTCATAGTCCAAAACTTTAACAGGCAAATGAAAACTATGAGACATTTTCATAAAGTTTACTTCTAAAGTTTTTTTGCTATGTTTTCCCTGCTTCAGATGAAAATGCAGCTGGCCCCACACTGAGTCTCTTGAAGCAACATCTGTGGGGGAATTCAAAGCTTGGCTTCGTCAAAAAGTGCTGGAGTCCAGCGGGGGGACATCCTGAGAGGGGGAACTGGAGATATTTTTCACTCCTAATTGGCTTGAGGTACAAAGAATATCATTCTCACCAACTGTCTGTGCAGTGTAAAGTTGTACCGCATGCTGTAGGTGGAGCTGCAGATGTGAATGTGGCTGGGTTTTCAAATCTGTTTGGATGAAGCAGATTTTCTGCTGTCGCTTCATATCATCCCTGAATTCCATCAGGTTTGTTTCTGCAGTTTGTATCCTTCAACTCATTAGAGTCTTTACATATTCCTCAAATACTTCCTTCTTATTATTCAGGATCTCCATTCACGTTCAGAAATCCGTTTACAGCTGCATGACAACAGTGGAAAGACAATGTCCACACAGAGGTTCTGGTAGTCAGTAGTCAGTAGCATGTGACCCCATCAATCTCGATAGACTCAGGAGGAAAAGGCATTTGCATGCTAATAGGAAGGTCAACTTATATCTTTGAGATGCACTACCTGTTGTTGATTTTAAACAATTCTGGTTCCCCCACCACTTCTAATGTTACAAAGTCCCTGGTGTCTTTCGGTCCTTCTGTGTTAAATAGTGTGCCTCAATTACATTCGTAAAATTGCTTGTTAGCCAAGGTACGTTCCCTTTTTGTTCCCAGGTTCCTTACCGGGGCAACGTGTTCACGGGTCTTTTTTTGTCAGTGAATTTACATTTCCCATTATGACCGATGGAATTGAGGCCATTGGCATTGATGTATAAATGTATAAAGACGGCACATACAGAGTGATGCTTCTATGTATGCGTCTCACATAGCTTTTTATCAGAATGTATTCCTGAGTGGGTGTTTGGGCTGTTTTCATATGAGGGTATAGGAGTTGGTGTGTCTCTTCCATTTGATACTCTGGTTTTGATCAAGGGCTGTAAAAAGCATGTTTGGCTCTGTTATGACAAAGATGATTACTATGAAATTCATATCCTGTAATATCCCACAGCCTTTAAAAAGAATATTACAATAACACAATGACTCATCTGTTCATTCAGACTGAAATAATCACTGATACTCTGAGACGAGGTAGCATAACAATGGTTTAGCAGGGGGAGAAATATTGTTTCAGAAGTATACTGATTGTTTTTCTTTTCAGCTAAACTCATCACCTCATTGTGGCCATTAATATTTTTTAGAATCGCCTTTGCACTCCTCCCTAATTTGATGTGATAATCTTTAAAGCATACTGGACATTATTTCGCATGTGAATGCCTCACAATGACTCGACACACCCTCGGACACTATCGAGCTGAAGCCCTTTTGGAATACACAACATAATGATGATTTATTCATAAACCACTAATCCTGGGTGTAAAGAAATCTCATGCTGTCAGCGACTCTGCAGTGGTGATTAAATAATAACATGCATAGATTTATTCTGAATAGAATTTGTCTGAGTATTACAAAAAGACCTCAAGTGATTGAACAAGACGAAGCTGATATCCATAAATATGAACTAAGTCTCTGCCTCTAATCTGAACTCACCCTAAAAGTAATAATCGACCGAAAAGAACAATTTTTTTTTTGGTTCCATCGTACACTTCAGGGGATAAAATCTGCTTGATTGAGGACCATTTAAAAATGATGGTCTTCACAGTTTTTCCCAGTCAAACACCAAATATTTATGGAATTTTTGGCCTTATCGCAGCATGTAAAGGATCAGTTCAGATTCAGACTAACCCATCTGCGATCACGCTACGCTTTGAATATCACATAGAAATCTGGTTATTTTGGGAAGAATGCTGAATAAGTCTGCCACCCGAGAAAGGCTACTTCTTCTCCCTGTCAGGGAGAGCTTTGAAACTCCATCAGCTATTAATAGGCGCTTAAACAACAAATAACAATAACAAATTGATGCCGCACATAGTCCAATAACAAAGGGGACCGTAAATACATATGTGTTTTGCGCCAAGAAATGAAAAAAGATATACATAAAATTGGAATTGAAACAGTTCTCCACTGCTATATGCTAAGACCTGGTAAATCATTATTTTATGAAGTCCTGGCAGTCAATGATGCATGTCTTGAATCAAGCTGAGACACAGCCTGTCAGCGGTTATGAAGACACATCAGCCTGTTACCTCAATGCTCTGGAGGAACAGTTCTCTGCAAAAAACAGATGTGGATATTTGTTGTTGTTCTTTTGTGTTTGTGTTGTTTTTAAGGCTGACTTGTATGAATACTGAATAGTTATACCTGTGACTTAATTGCACTATAAGAAAAATGCAAATTCCTCCTGCAAGTCTGGTTGGCTTTATATAAAGCAATTCCCACGTTTTCATTCTCATTCACACAGTTTGTTTGTTGCTGTAGTCAGATGGCAGAGCGACTCTAGAAGCCTATAAGGACAACGCACTCACCCCGGGTCCCTTGAAAGGCTTCTGCACTGCTTTTATCCTTAATTCTCTTAAAGTAAAGGTATAATGTCTGTGGTGGGATTTTGGATACATTACTTTATATACTTACATTGTGGGGTAAATCAATATATGTTTAGTCAATTTCTTCGCTTCTCTCTAGTGACTTTCCACAAGTGAATATTTTAAAGCTAATTTTTCTTTCTCATGGGACTCTCTCCTCCTTCCCTCTCTCAGAGAAAGTCTTCTCATAGTTTATCTCTCAATGTTTTGTATTGAGGACTGCTTTGTACAGGTTACTCTGATAGGAGACACTTTATGCCCCTCTTCCCATGCTCAGAGAGGGCTATAAAATGTACTATGATTGTGTTTTGCTTTAGAGCAGCTTTGTGCGTCACATGAACCGCTTGTATGATCGTGCCGGTTGCTCTCACTTCATTAAGTTTTCCCCTTTAATACATTTCCTATTTCTTACTTCCTCAGACGGACTCAGACTCTTGCTTTAAAACACAATTTCCACAACAGTGTAAAATTTTACCCTAAAAAGAAAGCTTCAAGGAAAGATTTACAACAGCTCTGACATTCATGTTAACATCACACGCGTGCTCCGAGCCTAATTATCCAATCATGTCTGGAGAGTGAAGAATACCCACAGATTGAAAAACTCTACGTTGATTGGGAGCCACGCACATCTGCTCTGCTGAGACCTTTACTTACCTCGCAGTCCAAAGTCACCAGCAGAGCGTCTCAGTGGTGCCTCCAGATGGGTAGGTTGTGTTTCAACTGTGTGAACCTCAGAGGATGAACTCTTCTCTGTTAGTCTTACATGAGCTGAGAAAAAAAACAACGTGTTTTTACTGGCACAGTTTCAACTTTCGGGAATTATTTTTATTCATTACTGATCATGTGAGTTAATTGGAATGAAATTTGATAACTATCTAATTTATCTGAGTGCAATGTGTGAGAAATATTCTGCTTGTTTGTCTGACAGCAAAATATTTTCCTCCCCCTGCCTCCTCCACCCACACATACAGGCTTGTGTATCAGCTCTATGCGTTGTTGTCAGCCCGCACATAAAGCCGCTTGGAGAAAAAAATAGACTGAGCAAGGAAAGTTTGGAGGCTTGGCTGATATAAACAGGATTTAGTTTTGTCCTAATTAAGACTGGAAACTCGCAGTTGACATGAATTCTGCATAGTTGCAGGATTTACTTTGCTTTCACATAGAAACAAGGGTGTTGGGCGAAAGAAGCACAAAGAATTTCACACATCAGACATTGCTTTCCGAAAAGATTTGTCTGTGTCACAATGCAAAGGTTCTTTTCCATTTAAACACAGACTTTCTTCAAAATAATCTCATATGGCTCTATGTTCTGACATGGGCCGTTTTTCAAGAAAAGAAAATATCTGTTTTTGCTCCCCTTGAAACCTCTTCAGTGCAGCGTCAGACATCCGGTGCTCAAAACATCAGAATTGTCACACATCCCAGAGTGTGTGTGGCATCTAAAGAGGGAATGAAACAAATCCCTATAAAACCTTGTTCTGCACCAGCTTCCTGTACATCTCCTCAGACTCAAAACTAGGACAAAAAAGGGAAGCGAGTGGCGATTTATGAAATCCCATGCCTCACATCTAAGAGGTAGAAGACTTTCTTGTGGTGCACACTCGCTCAAAGACAGATCAAGCACAGCACAAAAAGTTGAAATTTGCCATCTGAAATTGCTCTAAGACAGAAAATTGTGTTATGGTTTGGCTGGCGAACTAAAATAATTACATCAGAGAGGAACACTTTCCAGCATTGAATTAAAGAGGCTGCAGAGAATACGAATCAGACCCAGCAGACAGTGAAGCAAGATGAGAGAGGAGACCAGCTCTCACACAGGAAACAATATCAGATGCCACATTCATCCTTCTTTCAGCTAAACAGGCATAGACGGCCTGGAAGCACATTCACATCATGCCCTGACAGAAGTACTGACAGCCTTGAATCATAAATAAAGCAACTAAGATATCTGTAGAATCAAATTAGCTGTGTCTTACAAGTATAACCAGAACCTGATTGTTTGTAGTTTCTTTGTCACACTGAAACGATTCAAAATGAATTTGAATATCTTATGTTTTGTTCTCTATTTTTTTGCTGGGGCTTGCAGCTGCCTTCAGTTCAGCCTCAAATTAAATGATTACACAAGAATAGCTAATTAGTAGATTTATAATGTGTTGATTTTGTGATATCAAGATAGATGGCAAGGCCCTGGACTCTGAGACGCTATGTGATAAATGATTCTCTTGCAATCTGCTAAGAATCTATCATGATGTATGCCTCCACTGCCCTTTCATATTTAAATGAGGCAGCTGTAGAAGGAATAGGCCATTTAGGATATTCAAGGGAGGATCATCATCTCAGATAAGTCATCTTTTCTCTGCTGCTACTGTACATCAAAATGCAGCAGTTGTAGTCCTCAAAGTGTATTGTCAATTGTTTAGCTGTAATGTTCAACTTTAAAGCAAGGATAACATTGGATAGCAAGGAAAACCATTGTTTACATCATTTACTTTTGAGGTGAAAGTTTTACAGGTTATATTTCTTTAAGAGTTTGGATGTTAATCTTTTTGGTACAGAAGGACTTCCCCTGTGTGAACAATGACCTGAAAGAAAAAAAAGTCCACGTTTACGAAGGACATGCCCGTGTTCTGTTTATGAAACTACAGTCAGATAATTAATTGAGGTTTGCACAATGTCTGGAAGCAGTATTGGATGTCATAATCAAAATATCTTACACAACTGACCATGAATTATACATTTGTTAGATATGAAAATGACATTCAGGAAAATTACCTTCAAGTTATAATTTACAAACATGTTTGTATTGTATTGCACCATCTCTTATAATCGATTTTTGTATCTATTCCAAAAACTCACCTAGATCTTTGTCTAGGTTTGTAGGGTGTATAATCACTATTTATACAATACCATAACTCTACTATAATCAGTTAAGGCATGAAAAAGGTGCTGCAAAAAAGCAGGAAGAAGGTAAAAAAATATTTTAGTGTTCCACCTCCAGCTACAGACAACCTGTGCAATCATTTAATAACTCCTGAGAAGAAAGAGACTCTTTTTCTTCTCCTTTTATCGAGAACACAATGTCTCCAGAGCTAATTCTGTGTCACATGGCGGTGACATGTTATTAAGCTCTGACAGTGCGGGCCATGGATGTGTCAGTCAGAACATGGGGAGGCTCTAACCACCTCACATAAAATCAATTCAGAGCATTCAAAGCGGGCGATTGTGGCTGTGAGACATGATAGTAGCATGCTGCTCTGATTTATACGTTCAACCCAGTGTGATCAAGGAAACGAGCACTTGTACAAGCAGCTGTTGTCCCTTCTTCTAACACATGCACTATTTTTGTGCCATTCTGCCCAATGAAGAATATAGTCATTATTGAGTTGTTCAGAATAACAGCAGTTCACCCAGCAACTCTCTGTAATTACATCCTGATTCTGTGAAAATCAAATATTCCAAAGCATAATACTGACCACAGACATTCCAGAAGTTTTCTGTTATTTTTTTTAAATGCAGCTGCTGTTATTTATTTCATGGCATATTACAGTGGTTTGGTTAGCTATGCACTAGTGGAAGGGGTGAAACTTCATAGGGTTTAATATAAAAAACACTTAGCGTGGGTAGCTGGGAATAAATTAGTGGTTGACAGGGGGAAAAATGGAAATGCAGGGGTTAATATAGTCTGGGAGAAAATTGCAAATGAACAGCAGGAGATATGAATAATGAAAACCAGGTGTGACATAAGAAAAGAAACAAAACTCAGGAGATTAATCATCTAAGAAACTAATGCATAATACAACAGGAAGCACCCGAAAAACCAACAAGGACAATCTGGTCAACATCAATACATCAACAAGAGATAGGTCTGAAAAGGTGTAATGATATTTTCCCCGTTTGCATCTACGTTTATTAAGTTCCAGTCAATAAGTTAAATAACAAACTGTGTAATGCTTTAAAAAAAGCAGCAATCTTAAATATTTCCAATGTATTGCAGAATTTAAACTATAAAGGAAGTTAAGGTGAAATGATTTAAAGTGAAGTATCTATTGTTTTGGTGGATATCTAACACCATGTATTTTCTACTTCAAAAGACAAATCCAGGTAAATTGAACACAATGAATCACAGTGCACATTCGATAATCTGTGTGAACACATTCAGTGTCTCCTTGTTTCTGTCTTTAAGAGACTATTTCTGCTGATAAAAAAAAAAAAAGACTACAAGGATTTTTCGGAGAAACTGTACGGACGACCTTGTGTTGTCTCTGTTGCTGCTTTTGTCTCATTTGTGAAGATCAAAAAGATTCCAAAAACAGATCAGCTCAAGCCTCCCACAAGTATGTTTGCCAACAAACACAGCTCTTTCCAGGACACGACTCACGAGTCACAGATTAATTCACAGCAACAGCCTGCAAGTACCGGGAATTGATTAGCCGAATGTTGAATCATTTATCAAACATCCTCTGATGCTTGCTATCAGTGTACTTAGATTCGGATCTGAAGCTTCTCGTGCAGAAAGAACAGCTTTAATCGTGGGTAAATGTCTTAATGATTTACCACACAGAATGAGCTTTTTGGCACGAGGTCTTTAGCTGCTCTGCAAATGATCTGTGTCAGGGTTTGTGAAAAAGAGAGCAAACAGCAAAGTGGACAGAACAGGTCCCAATTACACAGTGGAAACGCATGTCTACATAAACATCATTATTGCTCAAATAGCACCTAAACATTACACGTAAAACAGTTTTCCAGATAGCTTTGGCTATATTTATAACAGCGTCATCAAGTTAAAATTATTGCCCATTTGCTGCAGATATAACTGAGCTGAGCATAAAGAGCCAGAAGAGCCATGCAGAATGTTTTTATAGATGGTTATAAAAGGGAAAAACTGCACCACATTTTTGCATTTAGCCCTCACAGCTAAGTTGCATCAGATGACACACCATTGATGTGTGTTGAAATGATCCCCTTTGTTTAAAGATTTAGATTTCCTGTCACACCCATTATGTATGTCAAGATTAGTTAGTTTGCATTTAAAAGAAGCCACATGTGAAGGTTAGACACGCAGTCTGTGAAGGCACAGCAACAGTGTCCAATGGAGTCCAAATAGTCTGGATTTGAAAACCCTTTCTAACCTTGAATTATCATTTCCTAGACTTACAGCAAAATTGAAACATTTTGTTGCTGATCTGTGCTGTCTTTACACTTAACCACTGTGCCAAGTAAAACGGCTTTCATGAGGGTGGGAAAGAGAATGTTACATAGCCCTGAATATGATCATTCTATAACCCCAAGGCAAATAATGCGATTGCCTGAACCCAAGCAGGAAGTGACAACAGTGTTTTACTGAAGTGTTAGCGTGTATCGCAAATCCGCCTGTGCTCAAAAGCATCGCACATAGCTGCACAATCCACCCACTCACTCCTACTTATGAGGACTTTGTGGCATCTTAAACAAAAGACTTGAGGATTACGTCTGCTCTGATGTGGAAACACTCATATGAGTCAGACTGTATTTCATTTCTGCATCTTGTAAAATGATGCTTTACAGGACGCCGTTACCACATGTATTGAGGGCCATGAATAATTTTCTTATGAGACCATTTCAGCCGGAGGGCTTGTTGGAAATCCAATACAGTAAATTATACTTTTATGAAACACCTATGGATTATTATTGATCGGGACCTCGCTGACCTATGAAAAGAGGTTCATATTCAAGACTGTCTTCATAATGATCATTTTCACCTTTCTGGCATTGTTGATGCAAATCTTC